TGCCAACAAAATTTTCACATCCACTAGATATTCCAAGACTTGTAAGTATTATAAATAAAAAGCAAAAAGGGGTCATTTCTAAACACACAAAAAGGGGAGAAGAGTTTTTGGACTGAAATTCTCGAATTGCCTTTAGCAGAAAAATGAAGCCATTTTAAAAATACTTGGCACAAAAGTTTTTATTCAAGTAAGTGTTAGGTTAAGGGGAGTTAAAAAGAAGGTTTTTCTAACAACGCTTTTTACAACCAAGAGCCATCTAAGGTTAAAGTGGGCTTCCAGATAGTGAAGAGGCATCTGTGGCCAGCCCTTCCTAAAGAAGCTCCTTAAATCAGGGTGTGGCAGACAGAGTTGGTGGAACTTGTCACCACCTAAGAGAATTAGACCATCTCTGGAAGGACCAATGATTAATAATCAGATGGCATTTCTTCATTAGAAAAAAATGAGTATCTCAACAAAGAAAATGCCAGTTAAAATATCTTACTCTGCAAATTCTGCAACTGCACGAAAGGAGAAAATCTGCTTTGGTTCTATAAATTGAAAATCATGAAGTAAGCCAAGTTAAGTACTAGTTGTCTACCTAGAACCTCCAAATTTTGTTTGCATTAGAATTTGAATACTGAAACTGATTTTTTCCTACCTCAACAAATCTTCAAATGTTGACCAACTGGGTCTTTATATCATATTCATTCATAAATGCCTTATGAAAAGTGATTGCATCTCAATTCTTATAAGAGGATCACAAATAAGATTCTTCAAGAAAACAAATGTGGAGAGTAGGATCACAAAAACATTTTTTAACTAAGTAACACCTTTGGAAATGCTTTCTCTTTCCCCACCCACCCCTGTTGAAAAGTAGTAACCTTTCTTTAACTTAAGGATATAATGTTAGGGAATAATGTTAAAATACTGGCCTATTTTTATTTTTTTAAAATTTTACTTTAAGTTCCAGGTTACATGTGCAGAATGTGCAAATGTATACGTGTATATGTGTGCCAAGGTGGTTTGTTGCACTTATTGACCTGTCTTCTAAGTTCCCTCCCCTTGTACCACATACTTCAATAGGCCCTGGTGTGTGTTGTTCCCCTCCCTGTGTCCATGTGTTCTCATTGTTCAACTTCTGCTTATGGGTGAGAACATGTGGTGTTTGGCTTTCTGTCCCTGTGTTAGTTTGCTAAGAATGATGGCTTCTAGCTTCATCCACATCCCTGCAAAGGACATGATCTCATTCTTTTTTATGGCAGCATAGTATTCCATGGTGTGTATGTGCCACATTTTCTTTATGCAGTCTATCATTGACGGGCATTTGGGTTGGTTCCATGACTGCTATTGTAAATAGTGCTGCAGTAAACATACATGTGCATGTGTCTTTACAGTAGAATGATTCATATTCCTTTGGGTATATACCCAGTAATGGGATTTCTGGGTCAAATAGTATTTCTGGTTCTAGATCCTTAAGGAATCGCCATATTGTCTTCCACAATGACTGAACTAATTTACATTCCCACCAACAGTGTAGAAGTGTTCCTATTTCTCCACAGCCTCGCCAGCATCTACTGTTTCTTGACTTTTTAATAATCACCATTCTGACTGCCATGAAATGGTATCTCATTGTGGTTTTTATTTGCATATCTCTAATGATCAGTGATGTTGAGCTTTTTTTCATGTGTCTGTTGGCCACGTAAATGTCTTCTTTCGAAAAGCGTCTGCTTATATCTTTTCCCCACTTTTTGATGGGGTTGTTTTTATCTTGTAAATTTAAGTTCCTTGTAAATTCTGGATATTAGACCTTTGTCAGATGGGTAGACTGCAAAAATTTTCTCCCATTCTGTAGGTTGCCTGTTTACTCTGGTGATAGTTTCTTTTGCTGTGCAGAAGCTCTTTAGTTTAATTAGATCCCATTTGTCAATTTTGGCGTTTGTCTCAATTGCTTTTGGTGTTTTCACCATGAAGTCTTCACCCAGGCCTATGTCCTGAATGATACTGCCTAGGTTTTCTTCTAGGGTTTTTATGGTTTTTGGTTTTACATTTAAGTCTTTAATCCACCTTGAGTTAAAAACACTGGCATATTGTATAATTGTATTCACTATATAAGAAGGGACAAATCTCTTATCAGGGATCTTTGAGTGAGGAAGTGTGTGTTAGTGTTCTAAAGACTGAAAGACTGAAACCCGTGGTACCAGTCTGCAAGATGACCCCAATAATTGCTGACTTCTAGTCACACCCTAGTGTAGTCTCCTCCCACATCAAACAGGGCTGACTTGTGTAACCTACAGGATATTGTGGGAATAACAGTGTATGACTTCCAAGGCTATATCATAACACACATTGTGGCTTCCACCTTGTGCTCTCTTGGATGCTTTCTCTAGAGCAAGCTTGTCCAACTCATGGCCTGTGGACAGCACGCAGCCCAGGACAGTTTTGAATGCAGCCCAATGCAAATTCATAAACTTTCTTAAAATATTATGAGATTTTTTGATTTTTTTTAAGTTCATCAGTTATCATTAATGTCAGTGTATTTTATGTGTGGCCCAAGACAATTCTTCTTCCAATGTGGCCCAGGGAAGCCAAAAGATTGGACACCCCTGCTCTAGAGGAAGCCAACTGACAAGTCAGGGTGACACTGAAGCGACTCTATGGAAAGGTGCTCATGACAAGGAACTGAGGCCTCCTTACCATTCATGTGTGAATGGGCTGTCTTGGAAATGGATCTTCTTGCCCCAGTCAAGCCTTTAGATGGCTGTGACCCCGTCAACATCTTGACAGCAATCACATGAGGCTTTGAGGTAAACTGTTCCCAGATTTCTGATCTGCCAAAAATGCTGAGATTATGCATGTTTATTCTTGTAAATCATTAAGTTTAGGATAATTTGTTTCTACAGCAATAGTTGACAGTCTTTTTTCCCCCTAAGAAATACTAACAGTGATTCAAATGAACATGGCCATCTTAAGGCAAGTTGATGGGCTCTGTGGAGTTACTAGTAATTAGACGGAACCTTATCTCAATAAATTTGCAATCAGTTTCTTGTTTCTCAAAGTCTCGTACCAAGACCACCAGCATTGGCATTACCTGGGGGCTCATTGGAAATGCAGAATCTCAAACTCCACCCCAGAGCTCCAGAATAGGAATCTGCATTTTAATGAGATTCCCCTATGACATGTAAATATATTAAAGTTTGAGAAGAAGCACTGATTTATTTGATTCCTGGTGTTACAGCCTGTGGTTGGAAACTCTGGATATACCTTAGGGGTACTTTTAAAAAAATACGTTGGAGAAGCCCATCTGCAGAAATTCTGATTTAACTGACCTAGGTTGAGGCCTTTTAAGGTGGTGGCCCTAATGATGCTGCAGGATTTTCCTCTAGAAAAACTACATTGAGGCCTCAGATCAGCTCTGACTTCCTAGCATGCCCCAACCCCGCAAGAAGTTAGATATGTCCAGGTGTATGCCCAGAACTGCCTTGGGAGGAGTATTGTGCACAGAGCAGGAGTCCTCTCTGGAGCTGCCATGCAGGGAGTGTGTGTGTATGCGTTTGGTGGGGCGCACCAACTTCACAGATGCTAACGACCGTTGCATGTGCTTCTACCTTCCTTTATTCATGCTCTTCCAGGACTCAGTTCAACCCAAGAAAAAGCAACTATGCCTTTCTTCCTGAAAGGTCAGTTTGGATTGCTGTCTAGGCTGCTCAGAAAACCAGGTGTTGAATGTTCTAAGGTTTCACGTGCCAAATGGGGACCAAACATTTTTGAGCTTTATCTTTCCTAATAACAAACTGCAAAGAACTAGTATTTCTCTTAAGTCCTTGGAAAAGATGTTTTTATTGTTGAATAGACACTACTGCACTAAGATTTCCACTATCATGGGTGCTCACAAATGACAGGCCTCTTAAGAAGCTTTAATTGACAACATTAAATATGCGGGTGGGGGAGTGGGTGCAGAATGTCTTTTTCCTTTGTTAGTGCATCCCAGTGACAGAAACAATGCCGACACATGGTACGCTCTCGATAAATATTCGTTGATTACATAACCCCCCTACCACCCAATAACTCCTCATCATTCATTCAAAGTTACTGAACGTACCATATTAGCGAATCTGCAATGGGAACAGTGGAGGCTGTTTTCTCAAAGGATTTTCTAATACAGCAACATATCTGCTTTAAAAAAAAAATAAATAGTGTGCCCCAAGCCAATGCTAGGCTTGGGTTTTCTGCGGTAGTTTGGCCTGGGGTCCTCACCAGGAGGCTGGCTGGGGATGTGCTCCTTGCCCTTGAATCTCCTTCCTTTGTAGTTTTTGGCCTGCGCGGTTACGTTTCCCAGGCGGAGGAGCGCGCCGCGGCTGCGCCCATTAGCGCGCGGCGCCGTGCAGGAGCC